CTTTCTGATGATGAGTTAAAGGCGCTGCATCATTACCTTATGCTAAATAGTGTCGAGATTGAACCATTCATTGAGTATGTCTCTAATTTTTTCTATTTCTAGTAAACCATTCCGCGAGTGTACACTTAAGGCATATGATGTTGTTCATTGCAGGAAATATGTCGATTCATTACGTGACTCAAATCCTGACATTACTGATGAGGCTTTACTGTTGCAAATGGAAGAAAGTTTTGCATCATGGTTTGAAAAACATGTATATATATCATAGCCTTAATTCATTTAACAACTTAATTCAGTCCTTTACTTATAATAATGAGACACCTCAAGTTATTCATCATTTGTACTACTTTCAGGCTTGGGAAATTGTTGATACACCGCAAGTTATTCGTGATGTATCAAGGGGACCTCTACCCGTCGTCAGCACATATCCAATTTGTTATGTCAATGGTTATCGCTTTCACACTGAGACTCACGGTGCCAAACGTGCCACGTTTAACAACGGTGTGTCTATTGTTGGAGAGCATTGTTCTTACTATGGTCGTGTAGAAGAAATTATCGAGGTTGAGTATCCTGCTTTACCAATAAAGCGTTGTGTTGTATTCAAATGCAAGTGGTATGATCCACGACCCAGAGTTGGAACCAGAGTGCACGACAAATATGACTTGGTTGAGGTTTTAAAAGGTGGGATATTTCGCAAATATGAACCATTCATCCTTGCAACACAAGCTAAGCAGGTGGCCTACATAGAGTATCCTGGAGTAGCTAGTAGGGCAAAAGGAGAATGGTTAGCTGTTTGTGATGTAAAACCACGTGGCTGGGTTGAAACCACATCTGAAACACAAAAGCTCAAGAGTACTGACGATTTTGCGTACCAAGAAGACGCAAGAGTGGCAGTCGAAATTGTTGAAGTTGAACCGCACGAGGAAGCTCCACTACTTGCAGAAGTTCCACAGTTAATTGATCTCGATGATAGTGAGGACGAAGAAAGTTATGATGTTGAGATATTAATTACTACTGATGAGAGCTCTAGCGAAAATGTGTTCATGTCCGATGATGAATTATCATAAAATAGACTTTAATACAAAAGGTGGTTGAACAAATATATTGTTGTATTCATATTATTAACTGTTTTACTAATTAATTACTCTTCTTTGCAGATGGCTGGTGGAGATAAGGGTAAGGGTCACGCAGAGCAAACAAAGTCCAATACTGGGAAGTGGAGAGAACTTTCTAGGTTGCGACATGCCATCCTCGGTGGTGGTAGATCAAGCGGCACATCGGCCAGCGCATCTGCGAGTGCATCAGGCAGCGCATCAGCCAGTGCCTCAGCCAGCGCATCAGCCAGCGCATCAGCGAGGGCATCAGGTACTGCCACTGTCAGAGTGCCTACTGGGCCTCACGGCATGAATGTCACTAGCACCTCTTCCGGAGGGTTTACACGTTCCACTGATGAGTCTAGGATGCACGATGATGAGAGCATGGACTCAGACGAGTCGATAGAGCATGAGCATGACGATGATATGAACCTTGGACCGAGCGTAGCATACTTTGATCGCTCTGGCAGGTGATTCTACATATATATCTTATTATTTGCATGTATACACGATTATAATATATATTATAATGTTGTAATTATAATATCATGTAGTGTCGTCTTCACGGAAGAGGGAGCTCGGATCATTTGTTCCACATTCCAGCAGAGGCTCGATCCAACAGGGGGTAGTTGGAAGAGCCTAAGCGACGCGACTGTGGACTTTTACTGGAGAGAGTTTAAGGTAAAATTTGGTTAGATACGAATATCAAATGTATGCTTTCTATATTTCGTATTTTATTTAAGATATTTTCTAACATGTCCGGTCTAACTTCTTTTTTTAAATTTAGAAACATGCCACTTTGGACCCTCGCATTGATGATAGCGTTATGTTCCGTGCTTGGCAATTGAAGGCTAGAAGACGATACATCGACTGGCTCTCATCTATTAGGAATGAGAAGAAAGGAACAGAGAAGGTGCAGCCACTTGTACCGCAATCGTGGAAGGAGGTATTTCTAAATATCTTTTGAATTGATGAGTTATGTTATACTTAGCATCAAATTGTGTGTATATATTTGTATTCTTGTATTTATATGTTGTTAAACAGTATTGGAAGTCACCAAAGTTCTTGGCATCCTCCAAGCAAAACAAGAAAAATCGGCGTGGCGGTGACGAGAATGCCCCTGCTAGCGCCACGCACACCGGTGGTCCATTGTCTTTTCGCGAGACTCAAGCGCGCCTTGTAAGTATTGTTAGTAACAAAAATTACCTATAAATGTTCTAAGTGACGTGTTTTCACTTATTTATATATTTTATTTTTTTAGGGTAAAAGTGGAAAGGCTTCTGACTTGTACTCTTCGTACACACACACACATACGAAGAAACATGATGGGAAGACCTTCGTCAATAAGAAGGCAGAAGAAGTGTCAGTAAGTGACAATGAATATATATATATATATATATATATATATATATATATATATATATATAATGTATATATAAATGATTAGTTTTCGTTGGATTCAATTGAATGTGAATTCATACTGCTCATTTTATTTTGCTTTTTATGTTACAAAGTATATATATACATGTATGTTTTGTGTATTGCAGCAAAACTACGTAGCCATGCAGGAGGTAGTTCGTGAAGAGGGCTTAAATGTGACACCTGACGAGATTTTTCTATCTACAGTCGGAGGACATGATGCCAAGAATCGTGTTCATGGTGTTGGAGATCTCGCACGGAGCCTACCACGAATGCATGCAAGTGAGGCAAGACGTGCTAGCACCAACTCTATGTGGGACTCTCGAGATGATGAGATTCGGAGGTTGAGAGAAGAGCTAGATGAAATTAGGGCTTCCCAAGCTCGTGAATTATTGTCGATTAGAGAAGAGATGACCCGACTTTATGGAGGAGTTTTCCCACATGGAAATGGAGATGGCGGTGGAGATGGATGAGGGGCGGGATTTGCAGGAGCTTGTTGAGTGTTATATTAGAATTGAAGAACAATATATTAAACTTAAGTTTTATGGTTATGTAAGTGGAGTTAGATTTGATTGTTATGTTGAATTTTTATAAATATTACTTGAAATTTAGTTGTACATTGGTGACTTGAATATTCTTGGTTGTTTGGTAATCTTCATTTCCAGTAATTATTGTTGTTTGATGTTGGGATTTCTGAGCTTTGCTATGGATGTGTGCAAAATTGAAAAAACAGCAGCTTTCTGGTACATGTCAAATTGGCGACAGAATTGGCGACGAAATTGCATTTCCGTCACTATATGGTCAAAATGAATATTCCGTTGCTATTTCCGTCGTCAGAATTAGCGACGGAAATTTTCCGTCGTGAGTTCCGTTGCTTAATTCCATCGTAGACTAGCGACGGAATCAATAATCCATCGTTACATTTACTACTAACGAAAAATTAACGACGGAACACATTCCGTCGTTATTTCCATCGTTATGGTGATTACCTACGGAAATAAGGGTTTGGCGACGGAATAATTCCGTCGCCATTTCAGCAGTTTTTTGTAGTGATAGAGAAGTAGGAAAGAAGAAAAGATATAGAGGGGGGGGGTTGCGGCGATTGAGAAGGAGTAGAAAAGAGGGGGGAGATAGGGAAGGAGAAGAAGGGTAATTTTGGAAGAGTGGGTATGAAAAAGTAGAGTAGGAAGATTTTTTCCGGACGAAAAAAAAGGTAGAGTAGGAAGTTTATTCTTGGACGGAGGGAGTATTTAGAAAATACAAAAGTTTAATAAGAAAACCCCTCGAATAGGAGTAAAACATATATTCTATCTTCAAAATAGAAGCATAAACTCAAACTTCTCTAAGTAGGAGTAACTAATTAAGTAATAAAAAATCCTCCCTGCTGCCTGCGATCTTGACACTACTCCGGTCAGCATTCATCACATGCAATAATGGTGGGTTATTATTTACTCCCTATATACTTGGTCTTCTAAGTGTATATTGTCAATATTGAAAAGTCAAACTCCCTCATGCAAGTGTTATTTGGTCTTCTAAGTGTATTTTGTCACACAAAACAATTGGTCTTTTTCACATATTGAGAATGAATCACAGCTTCTAATTGTTAATTTTCATGGGGGTCTGCAAAATGTTAGGAAGTACATTAATAAAAGATAGAGATATGAAATGGGCACCTTGATTTCTATTCCTTTTTATAAAATTTTGATTTTACAATAATTGAACTGAATTGTTTTTTTGACATTATACAGAAACAAGTTTGTCATTATGTAGTGATATGTTTGTCACTGTGCATTGTCATATTTGGCATTGTAGATTCAATTGCCACTCATGCTATGCATTTCTACGTATCATTACAATAGTTCATCCAGTCTTTGTTTTATTAAAAAGGAATATTTAAACATTATCAATGACCACCGCCGTATATATACGAAATAATGCCGAATATTAGTTTTTTTTGCTATAATAAAAAAGGAAAGGCGAAGCATCGGGGAAGATTATGTTAGACGCCTCGCACACCTCTAGAGGGGGGGGGGGGGGG